TTCTCCACCCCGCACAACATGATCTACTCGACTACCATTATGGTTACCGCCAAAAAAAAAGACGGAGGTAAAAATAAAAAACGGTAACCTGGTTGCCCGAGTTTATGAAGTGAATTGGCTTGTTTACAACGTCGTTGCCAAGCGACGAAAACCCAACCCCGATGGCAAACACCAGGGGGGGGGGCGTCATTTGGGGGAAGGGCGGGAACTTTGGGGGCGGGGGGCGGGGACGCACCACCCTAAGTTATATCTTCTCTCCAAGGATTCACTCCGTCGCACTTGTTGAAAATGGAGTCGGTGGAGATTTATTTATCCTTTTTTTTTGCTTGCGCACGCCAAGCGCACGCTCTACACGTTTGTGTGAGATTGAATGCGACGGCCTTAGGCTGCCTCCAACCGCCAATGCGTTTAACCAATAGAACATGTACTCTCACACTTGAGCAATGGTCGTGATCTGATTAGTGAGGTGAGGAATTCAAGACATACATGCGACATCTTGAGCAGCGCACGATTACATACACAGAGCGGCAACTAACGGCTAGTTATAGCCGCAATACAGCACACACATCTATCTTTTGTGGCGTGTGTACACTGCAGATCAGTGTGGACTTTAGTTCAAGCACGTTTCGCATGTGTTCTTCGGGTTCGGACGTTAGGTCGCGCACGTGGGCGAGTTCGCGAGTGTGGTGTTTGGTCAATTCGTGTAAACATGCGTGACAGCCGCGTGTGCACACCAGCACCGAAACCCAGAATGGGCAGCACAGAGAACTGCTTTGTCTCCGCAATGTAAATGGCAGCCAACGCCCTCAACACGTCTGCCGTCTGCTCTGTACAATAGCGGCTACGGTTTAAGAGAACTTATTTAAGAGAAAGTACGGATTTAAGAGAGAGGAATTGGCTTGTACCAATCAAAATCGATTTAAGAGAAATTTCCTATTGCAGCTGGGATTTTTCTCTTAAATCGAACAATATGGAAACCACGTGGACACACACACACATCACACACCCACACAGCTGCAGACACCATGCCCTGCGCGGCGGGCAGTCGCTGCACGGCTGTCCCCGATCACACGCCAGGCCCGCCGGCGTTCACAAATCACCAATGTAGAGGAGTCTGCGGGCAGTACCTCCATGGCACCTGTGGTGTGGTGGACCCTCAGGGCACCTCCGAGATGCATCGCATCTGCCACAACTGCCTGTCCTCCCGTGAGCGCATGACTTCAGGCGGTAGAAACATGGCTGTCTGTAGAGGACAACGTGGAGGTAGCCGAAGCGATCGTAACAGAGATGGTAGAGGACCTATGTGATGAGAATTTGGTGGACATGGATCGTTCCTCTGACGACGAGGACGACGACCTGGTTGAGCTACGCCAATCGGGACAGTCGGCGGCAGCAGCGGCCCCGGCTCCGCCGCCGTACGCGAATGTAGCAACCCATTTTGGTGAACTCGAGGATACTGCCGAGAAGTGCCGCATGTCCGAAGTGTCTTTTCACCTCCGCAAGGCTAAGCTAGCGTGGATGAGTGCCTACGGTTCGAGGGAAACCAAGCAGACGTGCATGAGGGACTTCCTTTGACGGTTGCAGCGCAGATCGTGTTCAGGCTGACAGGTCGCCAGGGTAGCGTTGGTTTCTTGGGTTTGTGTTTTTGTCGGGGGTTTAAATCGATGGGATGACAGGTATGAGGGTGTTATGTTGAGGGTACGGTGGGAGGAAGGGGTGCATTGTGTAAACGGGTGC